ATATTAGCAATAATATAGATATGTAAGTATATTACAGAAATGGGTCTATTATGGTATGTTATAATGTACATGGTATGAAGTATGTTATGAATATTCTATAACAATAAGTATGTACAGGCTGTAGTGAGTACAAGCTATGTACAGGATATGAACGGGATATAAATATGAAATAAAAAAACTATACAGAAATCTGAGATATACAGATATATGTATGTATGTATGTATGTATGTGTATGTATGTATGTATGTATATATATATATATGTGTCAAAAGAAAAAAATACAGGTCTTTCAAAATGAACTGCTCATTGGCTTCCATTTTAGAAACTGCAACGTTTTTTTTTGTTTTTTTTGTTTCATTCATCATCTGTTTCATTTGTCCAAAAAACAAAAACATTTGTCTGGATATTTTAATACAACTTCTGGAGGTTTTTTCAAAGTAAATGCTTTAATTGTAATTAAAACAAAGCTTTCTCCAAAGGATGGATGCTGTTTTGGATGTTAGAAACACATTTTCTTTCACTCTGCGCTCTTGGTAATGGCTCTGCTTCTTTGCTCTTGTGTGTGTAAATGGACTCCAGCTTCACGTTAAACTGTGCGTGTGTCATCATCACTGCTGCTGTTGCGTTATCAGTGTTTCTGTTTAAAACTGGGGGCTGTGTGGGCTTAATGTTGCCAAACCTTTTAGTCACACACTGCTCTTAGATACGTTTCTATTGCTCGTCTGTTTTTAGTCGCAAATGTGGCTAAAACGCTCGCTTTTGCCTTCCCATGGTTACAGAGCCGTGCCTTAAACGAAGCATCAACGCAAAGAATTTGTGTTTAGAATCAAATGAATCATTGCAGCCCAAATTCACACCAATGGCCTGCTGGAGGTCATTTTGCAGGCCATTTTATTTTATACTTGTTATAGTATAACAAGTAAGATAATGCATGACTTTTAAGAAAAGCGTTATGTGTAATATATGTATTGATTACTTTTTGAATAATGACCCTGATCACAACAAAGAAGGGAAACACCGGCAACATACCACATTGACCACATTGCATGTAATTAATTTGCACAACTGTACTGTGTTTAACATGCTCCTTGACAATGGTGGTAACTGTCAAAGTGGGGCCATTGAGAACCTAATGAGAATGTATAAGAGAATCATAAATTGCAAAACTTTGTGAAAGGAGTCTAATACACGCCAATCAGTCGACAGGTATTAGAAGTGGCGATACTGCGTTTTTGATGCTGGTAGCTGGCATTGGATTATGACACTTAGCCAATTAAACTTTCGTGTGATGTCAGAATGTAAGGAAACTGTTTATCAGAGGGAAAGTGATTCTTTTTGTCTGATTTTATTTTGTTTGTTTGTTGGAAAATTGTATGGCACCTGGCAACCATTTATATTCTTTGTTGAAAGGATGGCAGCTGTTGTTATTAGCATATAACCAGAATATTATTAGTGTAATTTAAATATATGACAAAGTAACTATTTGTTTTATTTTCTTCTCAACTCTTTTCTTCTCTTCTTTTTCCTCCAATTGTTGACATTTTGTTGCATTTTCATGAGAAACAGGGGGCATGGGAGCTAGCTGATTGTCAATCGCCAGTTGGTGTCTGCTTCAAGCATACCATGTTTGACTGATCTGGATAGGGCCGGTGCTATAGAGCAACTTCAAGCTACCATGAATGGCAATTGTCAGCTCACCCGCTGTATTCAAGACAGCAAGTCAACTTGGCTGCTTGCACAGATCTTTGCCCACTTTTACATATTTCTAATAGATTAAATCTAAGTGAAGGCATCAGTTTTTTGGAAAATTTAAATACTAATGAGGGTAGATATAGTACAATATTCTCAGTGGTGATGTGCCTGGAGCCTCCTTCTTGGTGCTGGGACCGGCCAACTTCCCACCACCAGCTATGTCCACCCTCTGTTTGATGTTATTGTACAGCACCTTGGTCAGCTCTGTTGTTTTATGCTTTATAAAAAATAAAGTTGTGTGTGTGTGTGTGTGTGTGTGTGTGTGTGTGTGTGTGTGTGTGTGTGTG